CCCACGTGACTCGAAATTTTGACGTGACATTAGTTCACATTTCAAAGTTCCCCCACGCGGTTCGACTTCCAGACACTTTGATTCCAACCGGCCTCGATCGCAATGCCTGGCCTGTCCATCAGTGTGCGACGATGGAGATCGTGCCACATTTGCTGGGTGTGGGAATTATGCTGCTAGACATGCCAGTTTTGTGCACATAGCTGGCAACATATAGTTCCTTCCTGCCCACGCAACCCATTTCTGCGCTGCTTGCCTGGATCTGCTAATATCACCCAAGTTGACTTGATTTGACTGTTGTGCCAAATTTTTGTGTCAGGCGCAACCGTCAAACTCGGCCGTTTAGGGTTTGCCTCACAAGGTTAGGATGTGGGCCCAAACGGCATTGATCCGCACGATCAAAGGCAATCAATAACTTCGAGGAAGGCGGGAAGCTAATTTGGGGCCTGGTCCGACTGTACCTGCGCTGTCGGCGTCCCCTCCTGTCAAGCGTGTCGTTCCGCCCGCTGTGCCGCCAGCTGGGCACGCTCCATCTGCTGCTCTTCTCCCGCTTGTCGCTCCTCCCGCGGCATCTGCCTCCACTGACGATCTTGGTCAGGTAGCGCTCCCAGCCGCTCCCGTCCTTCCAACTGCCCCGGCACCAGTGCCACCCCCAACCGTCCTGGCAGGTCCTGATCCTGCTCCGCTTGCTGCTGCTCCCTCTGCTCAGCGTCCGCCGTTTCCTGGACGCCGGCAGCAGCGGCCTCATTCCCCTTCTCCACGTGACGAGCGAGCAACGTCGAGGCGGCGACATGATTCTCCTCGGCGTCGCGGTTCCCAGGCAAACTGGGGGGCATCCCGCGGCGGGCGTGGTGGCTGGTGGGGGGGGGGCGGTCGTGGTGGCGGCTGGGCGTATGATCACCCGGTGACAATGGCTGACTTGCAGCGTGTTTTTCTGCTGCTGTGTGCGAGGAGCGGAATGGGCAGGCGAGCCAGAGCAACTCGCCGCGTGTCGCTCCGACCCCCGTGCCTCCTCCTCCTGTTGCGCTCCCTGTGCCTGCCGCTCCACCTCCGCCGGCAGCAGCTCCGCCTCCCCCTGCTCCCTCTGCATTTGCTGTCGCTCCGGCGGGTCGTGTGGAGCCCCTGTGGGTTCCTGCTGCTGGTGACGCGCTATCATTCCAGGCGTGGGCGGGACCTCCTCGCATGGCTGAGGTCCCCGAGGCGTCGCTTGGGCAGTTGTGGCGCCTCGCTGACGGCTTGCGGGCCGTGCACCTGATCCAGGCGTACGGTCATGCAGCTCTCGCTCGTGGTGGCTCGCTGGATGGTTGCCAACAGGACGAGTGTCTTGATGCTGCTGACCGGCTCGCAGAGCCGCTGGCGCCCGTGCTGGCTGCGCCCGCGATGGGCGTAATTGCGGGTGTTGGGCAGCTTGGTACAGCTGTCCATGGTTTGCGGCGGATCTTGCACGCAGGCTCTGTAACTGATATGATCAGCGCAAGCGTGGCAGCGGTGCGGGAGCTGCATCGCTCTCTGACTGGGCTCCTGGCCGTTCTTGACGGTGATCAGTACTAGCGTCCGTTTCCTCCTGCTCCATTGTCGCTCCCGTCCGTATTTTCCTAGGCGCTCGTACTTGATGTCATTACTTGTGATTGTTGCATATAGTTGCTTGCCTTTGCTGTCGCCCTTGCCGTCCTCTCACGTGCGGCTGAAGGCCGCGCTGTCGAGCGACGGCCGCCGAAGGCGGCCGGCGCGAGCCGCTCGGATGGGAGAAAGAATTCACAGCTGAAATGAATAATGAGCTGAAGTGCAAGGCACTAGAGCCTATATACTAGGAACATAGGCGGCTGAGAGGCTAAGGGAGAGGCCTAGTTGCCTCTCTCTCTCTCTCTCTCTCTCTCTCTCTCTCTCTCTCTCTCTCTCTCTCTCTCTCTAATGGTCCGTGTAATGATATAGCAGCAAGGTACAAGCATGCAAGTAAAATGACAAAGATTAGACAAGCCTATGGGCACACTAAGAAACATACTATCACACAAACTAACCAACACTTTTGTCACCTTTCCCTAAACCTCCACCAGAGGTTCAATCACGGTGAGGCAATCACCCAGGTGGAGCTCCTGCTGCATCCCCCAAACAGGTGGGTGCTCTGCCATAGTGGCTTGACACGTCTTCATGAGGAACCCCACTGACTGGGCCCTCTGCAGCGCCACGGACCACCTCTGCCTGAAAAGATGGAGGAATGTGGCTGCATGAAATGAGTTAGGTTCGGCGTTGAAGTGACGCCTAGCAGCAGAGTCTGCCAGCAATTTCAGGAACACGGGCACCTCCGCACATGGGCACCCGTAGGTCTCAACAGCAAAGGGGAAAAAGCCCACCATGTCAGGCCGGCTTTCATAGTGTTTAATTTTCTTATCCGCCTGCTCCCGTGCTGCCCATCCCCTTCCCTTGGCAGCCGTCTTATCCCGGGTACTAATCGGATCTGTGACTGTTACATCACAAATATAGACAGCCCCGGAGCTCCGGTCCATCATTGTTAAGTCCGCCGTCTGTTCATCTACTGGGCAGTAGGCCGCGGACTCTGTGTGAACAATGAAGCCCGCATCCTGCGCCATGCTGACGCAGGCATCCTGAAGCTCGTTATGCGTATTGATCCTGTGTTTTCCAGTGCCGCAGCGAAACAGGTGGTTAGGCAGCCGCGGGTCTGTGATCTCGACGTGTTTTGGGCAGTCACACTTTGCCGGTGTTGCGAAAGGTAGGCCCAACAGAAAACGGACCGCGTTTGCAAAGTGCTCAGGTCCGATCCGCCGTGTTGACTCGATGGGGATGGCCAGCAGCCAATCCCCAGCTGCATAGCCGGTCAGTGAGATGAGGCGTTGGGTATGTCCACACAAAGGATTCGGTGCCATCCGCCGTGACGCCTGGACCTGCTTCGCGTATCTTCCCCCCTGGACTTGCACTGAGAGGGCATGCTGCAGCCTAATTCCCGCCGGTTCTATCCTCTCCTTCTCTACGATTTCCCGTGCTTCTTGAGGCAGTGCCGCTTCACACTCCGTTAGCCACGAATGTAGGTCTGTACTTGTATCCCTGGGCAGAAGCATGTGGTCCTTAGCAGCGGTCAAAACGTCCCCTTGATCGAGCGGCAGTGAGCTGAGTAGCAGTGACGCCTGTGTGAAGCTGGAGAGGAAACCCGAAACTCCTTCTACTGTGGGGTCCGTGAGGCCAATCCCGCCGAGTGACGTCGGTAATGAAGCCTGCTCCCAAACACGCATCTGCTCCGCCACGCTCGTCGGATAGCGTATCCCACATGAAGCCAGGAGCGTGGCGAGCAGATCCCTACCCCATTGGGACCATGTGTCACCAGGCAAGAGACTGAGCGGGGTGGTCCTTGTGAGGTAGGCTACTCTGCGGGAAATGCATCGAGTCAGTAGAAGCGAGGCTATCTGTGGGTCCGTGCGTTCTAGTAGCGGTAGCGGTTTTGCCATTGTTTGAAGCTGCTCTGATAAGAATGTGGCGCCTCCTTCCGTGGTGCCTAAGAAGCTTCCTAGCAGTCGCACGCCATTCTGACTGAAGGGCACCCCGGGCGGCAGCTCCCCCTCGTCCAGCATCTGGGATTTATTCCACGCCGCACATTTAGCCGGGTTATGCTCTAAACCTAAGTTGGCTAGCTGGCTCGTGAAATGAGTGAAAGCTGCTACTGTTTCTGCTTGTTCACCTAGGAAACTGACATCGTCCGCGTATGCGAGACACAAGACGCCTGGGTGTGCTGTTGCTGTTGCTCGTAGCGCTGGGTGGATACCGGCTGCAAAGAGGAGCGGGCCTAAGGGGTCCCCTTGACGTACCCCGCGTGCACTACTTAGTGGGGCGCTTTCAAAACCTGCGTCGAGGTAAAGAAGTGACGGTTGCCCGTAGGTTAGCTTGACTAGTGGGAGCAGTGGCGAGAGGGCTGGGTCCTGAAGGGCGGTTATTATTGCTTGTCGTGAGATACTGTTAAAGGCGTTGGATAGGTCAGTTTGCAGAATCAGGGAATTTGGCCGTGCGTCAGTGAACGCCCGCGCTGTGTGTATGATCGCTTCAGCTCCACCTGGCACGGCCACTCCATACTGCAGCGGCAGGAAGAAACTTCGCGCTGCTTCTCCCATGACCGTCAGAGCAGCCTTTGCTGCTAGTCGAGTGAGGCACTCGCCGATTGCTATGGGGCGAGCACCGCCTTCTGGCTTGGCAAGTGCTACCAGTCGCGATGACGTGAGTAATTCTGCTACAGGCTGGGGCAATTTTCCCGCCATCAGGGTATTGACCAGGGCGTGCAGATGGGTGCAGACAGATGCATTTGTAATTGCCGCGTCGCACAGATGCTCGAAAGTGGTGCCAGACGGGCCGGCCCCCACTCCATTCTCGCAGCGACTCAGCAACTTGGCGAAATCCGCGGATGAAATGGTGAGGCTCTGTGGTTGGTCGTTGGATGGCCATGCCAGGGGCTCGCTGCCAGCTGGCGGGTGTTTTCGGCGCAGCTCCGTCAGAATCTGTGGACTGGGCATGCATACTGGTGTTGACTCAAGGGCCAGTACGGCCCTACGCAAACTTCCGCGCTTTGCCAGACCTTCTGCTCTGCTGATGACCCCGGTCTCGTCAGGTTGGTGACGTGGTGGTGGGGGGGTGTTGACAGCTTCCGCGGCGTCAGTGTAGAGCTGCTCCCATTCGCCTCGTTGGAATGATCTAGTCCGGGCTTTAATTTTGGCCCAGTCAGGGCGCTCTGGCGAGGGTTGGCGAAGGATCAGGTGGGGAAGAAACAGTAGCAGGCGCCAGCCTGCGATGGAGTTTGGGTTTTGCGAGAGGTGCAGAAGAGGGGTTAGCAGGGCCAGCGAGAACAGCTGGCACAGATTTGGCGGTAGGCGGCGTGACAGCGGCGGCTGATGACTGTCGCAGAGAGGTGTGATATCCCAATTTGCGACTGCTGCGAATCTGTGGAGATGCCTCGCCATTTCGTCTGGTGAGAAATAGCGAGGCTGTTGTGGCGCGTTGGATTGGCGATGCGCGGCTTGATTTGTCTGGGCGCGGCTCGATGTTGCTTGGGTCGGCAAGGTTGGATTCCCAACCGTACGATCGCCATCGTGCGGTTCACCCTCGTTCCTTTGCCCAGCTACCCCAGGACGACTGGGCACTTCGTTCCCTCGTCCGTCTCTCTCCCTCTCCTCTTCTCCTCCTTCGCCATCGCTGCTGTCGTGATGTATCCCCTGCTCCTCCCTATAAGTGGGGTCCGCCCTTTCCTCTTGCTCATTAGTCTCCTCTTGGCCAGTTAAAGCCACTCCCCCAGCTGCTTCCTGCGCGTTCTCCGACTCCGCGTTTGCAACTAGTAGTGTTAGGGCTATTCGCCCCGCCGCCTGAAACGCGTTTTCCGGTCCTCCTCCTTCGCCGCTTCCTCCTCTTTGTCCCGCGGCCCGGCGCCTTCCTCCTCGCGATGGTGATTGCTGGTGGGCTCGAGCTGTTGCTAGAGCACGCTGTCGTTGCGTCAGTGGTGCGCGAAAAGTCACCGCCGGTGACTGCATCGGGAAACGTCGCGGCGAAGCCGCCAAAGCCGCCTGCCCCGAAAACCTTGTCATCGCCAACTGCTGGGCCTGTGGCGCCTCCGGCTGCCGTGGTCGCTCCTCAAGCTCCCGTTCGCCCGGAGCCGCCGCAAGTGGCACCTGCTGCGGTTGTTGTGCCACTGGTTGCCCCTGTCCTTGCCGCCCCTGTGATCGCCGCTGCCCCTGCTGCTCTTAGCGGCGGTGTCCGCCACCACTGGCGGCCCGGCCCCGGCGGTGGTGCCTGCCGAGGCTGTTCAGTCGGCGCCTGCAGCACCTCCGTTGGTTCCGCCTGGGCAGCCGTGTCGTCCGCAGTCTCCCGATCGCCGCCCATCACGACCCCATTCGCCCTCCCCGCGCGATGAGCGGGAGTCCTCGTGGCGTCCACAGGAGTCTCCTCAGCGCCGCTCATCGGGCGGGAACTGGCACGCGCGACGGGGTGGGCGCGGGGGCTGGAGGGGAGGTTACGGTCGTGGACGTGGCGGCGCGTTTGATGGGCCGGTGACGATGGCTGACTTGCAGCGGGTTGTAACTGCTGCGATGCGTGAGGAGAGGGCCCTGCAGGCAAACCAGCAGCTCCCTCGTGCAACTGCCACTCCTCCTCCTGTTGCACCTCCTGTGACTGCACCAGCGGCGGTTGCTCCTCAGCCTCCTGCTCCCCCTGCTCCTTATCCGTCCTTCCTGCCTTGTGACTCTGCTTCTCGTGCTGCTGGTGTTGCGCAGCCGTTCGAGACGTTTGTGGGTTCTTCCCGCGCGGCAGAGGTTCCGGAGGCGACCCTTGGGCAGCTGTGGCACCTCTCTGAGGGTTTGCGGGCTGTTCATCTAATCCAGATGTACGGTCACGCGGGTCTCTCCCTTGGGAACACTCTGGTTGGCGGTTCCCGGGACGAGTGTCCTGACGCCGCGGATCGGCTCGCGGAGCTCCTGGCGCCCGTGTTGGCTGCGCCCGCGAGGGGAGGAGTTGCGGGCGTTGGGCAGCTGGGGACAGCTGTACGAGGCCTGAGGCACTTTTTGCGCGCTGGGACTGCAGCCAATGTGATCGGCGCAAGCACGGCGGTGGTGCGGGAGCTCCACCGCTCTCTGACTGGGCTCCTTGCTGTTCTTGATGCTGATTAGTTCTAGAGCCCTCCCCCTCCTGCTCCATTGTTGTTTCGTGTGCTTCTTAGGCAGATGAACCCGTCATTGCGTGTATGCCTCTGATTATAGCCGTTTGTGTGTGTTGACACTTGCCGTCCCAAGCGCGTGGCCGAAGGCCGCGCTGTCGAGTGTCGGCCGCCGAAGGCGGCCGGCGCGAGAGGCTCGGTTAGGAGAAAAACCCAACCAAAACCTGAATAATGAAGAGGCCACAAGGCCTGCTGAGGCCTTTATACTAGGACTTGGGAGGCTAGGGAGGCTAGGGGAGGCTTGAGAGGCTAAGTCACTAGGTGCCTCTCTCTCTAAGTCACTAGGTGCCTCTCTCTCTCTCTCACTCTCTCTACGGCTCTGTTAGGAGAAAAACCCAATCAAAAACTGAATAATGAAGAGGCCACAAGGCCTGCTGAGGCCTTTATACTAGGACTTGGGAGGCTAGGGAGGCTAGGGGAGGCTTGAGAGGCTAAGTCACTAGGTGCCTCTCTCTCTCTCTCTCTCTCTCTCTCTCTCTCTCTCTCTCTCTCTCTCTCTCTCTCTCTCTCTCTCTCTCTCTCTCTCAAGCAGTCATGTATTAATAGGGATCATAAGGTACAAGCAGGACAAGGTGGGGTACTAGACTAGACAAGGCATGCAGGTGAGCGAGCAAGCAACAACTAGGGGCGCCAGCATACTGTCAAACAGAGCAGGCCTGCACATACATTCCCGGCCTGTCCCAGCCATGCCTACACAACCTACAGACTCCTCGCTGCCCCCCGCTCCGTGTCCCACCCCTTACACATCCACCTTGCCTCCTCCTGCCGCTTCCCTTCCCTCTCCTCTCCTAGCTCTCCCCCCTGCCGTCCCCAGCTCTCCCCACGGCCGTCTAAGCCGCCCTGGCAGGAGCCTCCCGCTCCTCATAGTCGTCTTGTGTCATCTGCCAGAGGTCTCCTAGCCGCGGGGCCCAGGGGTCAGCCGCTGCCTGTGGGAACGCCGCCTCTGCTGCCCGGTTGGACTTGGAGAGAAGAGAGATGGCCTGGCTACGCTGCAGCATCACGGACCAGCGCTGGCGGTAGTGGGCATTGAGTCGGGCAGCCGTGGTGGTAAGGCGGCCCTGCCTGAACTTCTTCTTGGCTGCGTGGGTGGCTAGCATGCGGAGGAGTTGTAGCGTGTCAGCCGCCATTGCCCCATAGGTCTCCACTGCAAGCCCGAAGAAGCCAGCGTAGCTCGGCCTCCCCTCGTACTCTCGGTGCTTCCTCTGTGATGCCTCTTCCGCGGCCCAACCCGCCGGCCTGCGTGCCCCTGGTGTCTCTGTTTTGCAGAACTGGATCAGTCACGGTGACGTCGGTCACCCACGTCTCTCCTGATTCCTCATCCCGGATGGCCAGGTCCGCCCGTTTCCTAAGAACCGGGGGCGAGAAGGCGGAGGTCTCGTGGAAGACCTTGTAGCCCGCCTCGTTCGCCATTCGCAGCGCTGCGTAGACCAGCGTGTTGTGGGTCCTAACCGCGTCCCCTACGTCCTGGCACCGCAGCAGGTGGTTCGGCAAGCTCTTGTCTGCAATCGTGGAGTTGCTTCGCTTGCACGGGCACACCTCGGCGACTGGGAGCTCCATACCTAGGCGGAGGCCTAGGGCCAACTAAAACTGACCAGGGGAGATGCTAAGGTCAGCTCTCGTCGGCACGGCATGGAGCCAATCACCTGCTCCCGCTCCTTTCAAACTAATAAGTCGAATCGCGTGGCCCCTGCTGGCACCAGGTCTGTCCACGACTGTGTCGCCTAGGAGGTCTACTGCCCGCTGCTGGTTAGGAGAGAAACCCAACCAAAAACTGAATAATGAAGAGGCAACAAGGCCTGCTGAGGCCTTTATGCTAGGGCTTGGGAGGCTTTGGAGGCTAGGGGAGGCTTGAGAGGCTAAGTCACTAGGTGCCTCTCTCTCTCTCTCTCCTCTCCCGCGAGCCGCTCGGTTAGGAAAGAAACCCAACCAAAAACTGAATAATGAAGAGGAAACAAGGCCTGCTGAGGCCTTTATACTAGGACTTGGGAGGCTTTGGAGGCTAGGGGAGGCTTGAGAGGCTAAGTCACTAGGTGCCTCTCTCTCTCTCTCTCTCTCTCTCTCTCTCTCTCTCTCTCTCTCTCTCTCTCTCTCTCTCTCTCTCTCTCTCTCTCTCTCAAGCAGTCCTTCATTGATAGGTTCATAAGGGTACAGGCATGGCAGGGATAGTAGCTAGATAGGCCTAGGTATTGAAGCAGCTAAACATGCAAGGCATGTACACGTAGCGGGTAGGATAGCTGCAAAAGACAAGACAGCCGGGTGGGGCAAGGCAAGGCAAGGCAAGGCAAGGCACGGCAAGGCAGGCAAACCACTGCAGGGCAGGGTATGGCAAACAAGGCAGCAAACAGACAAACAGGCAAACAGACACACAGACAAACAGACAAGCAGACAAACAAGACAAGCAGACAAACAAACAAACAAACAAACAAACAGGTCGAGACTAGACTACCGCAGGTGAGTCATGGCTAACCGACTATCGTACCATTCATCCATCTCACTGGGTCCATCCCCCCTCCATCTCATCCTCCAGTACCTGCCAGAGATCTCCTAGGCTAGGCACCCAGGGGTCCCGTGCAGCCTGGGGGAAGGCCGCTTCATCCGCTATGTTCGATTTGTTTAGGAATGAAGCAGCCTGTGAGCGCTGCAACATGACTGACCACCGCTGCCTGTAGTGTGCTGTGAGCCGGGCTGTTGTTGTGGTCAGTTTCCCCTGGTGGTACTTCTTCTTGGCTGCTGAGGTGGCCAAGAGGCGCAGGAATTGCTGTGTGTCCGCGCAGAGGGCACCATACGTCTCCACCGCCAGCCCAAAGAAACCCACATAATCCGGCCGCCCCTCATACTCTCTGTGCTTCCTCGCAGATGCCTCTTCGGCTGCCCATCCTGGTGGTTTCCGTGCTCTCGTGTCGCGTTGCTGAAGCACGGGGTCGGTCACTGTCACATCCGTCACCCAGGTCTCGTTTGACTCCCTGTCCCTAAAGGCCAGGTCCCCTCTCTTCCTGAGTATCGGTGGGGAGAAGGCTGACGTCTCATGGAAGCATGTGAAATCCGCCTCTCTTGCCATCCTCAGTGCCGCGAACACTAGTGAGTTATGTGTGCGGACCACATCCCCCCCATACCTGCACCTCTGGAGATGGTTCGGCAGGCTTGTGTCAGTGATGTCCGAATATTCTCGCTTGCAGGGGCACTTCACTGTGACCGGCAAGGACATGCCCAAGCGGAAACCCACTGCCAAAGAGAACTGACCAGGGGCAAATGTAAGGTCAGCTCTCGAAGGCACGGCATGTAGCCAGTCCCCTGCTCCCACTCCCTGCAGGCTAATGAGGCGGATGGCATGCCCGCGGTGTGTGCCTGGGCGGTCTGTGATCGTGTCAGCCAGCAGTTCCGCTGCTTGTCTCTCGTTAATGTGGCGGGAGAGTAGTAGCTGTAGGTTGCCCTGTCCTGCTGGCCGCTCCCTGAACGCCTGTAGTGCAGACTGTGCGGTTGCCGGCATCCCCGCCTCCAGTGGGGCTAGCTGGTTGACTCCAGGTGGTGCAGGGCTCCATGCATGGTCTAGCAGAGTGACCGCCCTGCGCAGCAGGTACGCCTCTGGCAGGTTCATCTGCCGCAGTAGGAGCTGGGCTGCCGTTACCGAAGTAATGTAGGCTGCAGGTGCCTCCGAGGTAGGGTCAATGATACCTAGCCCCCCTAGCCTGACGGGGAGAGTTCCTTGCCGCCACAGCAAGCTCTGCTCCAGCTCACTCGCTGGGACCCGTAGCTTCGCCGCCGCCAGTGCCGTCGCCATCAGAGTCTCACTCCACGACCTCCACTCCTCCCTCTCCAGCACAGAAGCCGGGGTGGTCCGCAGCAGGTATGATATCCTGCGGGAGATGCTCCGCGAGAGTATTAGCATAGCGTGCTGTGGGTGTAGCTGCGCAATCAGGGGCAGCGGTGCAGATGCCTCCGTGAGTCGTGTCTGTGCATGGTCTGTGCAGAAATCAGCTGTGCCGATCGGGCTCCCCAAAACTCCGATGCCGTTGGTGTTCATCGGCAGGCCCTGCGGGGCTGGGATCTCGTTCCTCCCTTCCGTGTCCGGTCCCCACCGTGAGGACTTGGCAATGTTGCAGCGGAGCCCCACCGATTTGAGCTCCCTCGTGATAGTGATAAAGGCCTCATAAGCCGCGTCCCGAGGGCCCACAATGGTGATGTCGTCGGCGTAGGCGACGATCGCTACCTCGGGGAGTAGTGTTGCCGTGCCTTGGAGTGTCGGTTGGATTGCTGCTGCAAAGAGGAGCGGGCCTAGCGGATCGCCTTGGCGGACTCCTCGGTTGCTCATGATCTGATCGACTCCAAACTTGTGGTCCACCAGAAGGCGAGACGGGCCGTCATACAGCGTGCGTACGAAGGGTAGGAGCGATAGCAAACTTGATTGCGAGAGCGCCTGGAAGAACGCCGGTCGTTCGACACTGTTGAAGGCGTTTTCGATATCGAGCTGTAGCGCTACCCGAGTCTCGTCCTCCTTAAGCAGTGATCTGACTGAGTCAACGATGCACTCCGCGCCGCAAGTGACTGCCACCCCAAACTGTACGGGGAGGAAGTATTCGCGAATGGTCTGTGCTAGCTCCCTCAGTGCCGCCTTTGCCACTACGCGGAGTATTGCCTCTCCTATCGCGATGGGCCTAACGCCTCCTCCCGGTTTCTCCAGGGCGATTAGTCTCGATGGAAGAAGCAAATCGCGGACCGCCTGGGTCTGGAAGGTGCTAAGGAGGTAGCTGATAATATGTGCGAGGAGTATGAGCACCTCCTCACTCGCGGGCGCAGGGTCTTTGATGTGTCCGCTCTTGCGATAGTGGCGTCTGCTCTTGCTCACTCCAGCCCCGGAGGGGACCCGGGGCTCCAGGTCCCAGCCCTGCTCCGGGCCGCCTCGGCACTGGCTGGGCGCGGAACTTCCTCACGCTCTTACCGCGAGCGGTGCGCCCAGGGACGTCGGTCCCGCGATCCCGTCTTCCGCTCGCCGCCTGGTCGCGCTCCTGCGTGTCTGCGCCCTCGGCATCAGCAGATGTTCCGGCGCTCACAGCGGCCACCGGTTACCCCCCCTCGACCGGGGCGTCGGCCACGCCCCCCACCGCAGTCGCAGCAGTCACCGCCGCCGCCAACACCGCCGCCGTTACCGGCGCCGGCGACGCGGACAATGCCACCACTTCAGCCTGTTCCTGATCCACCGCCCGGCCCAGCTCCTGTGTCTGCGGTTGTGCCCCCTGGTGGTTGGCCGAGAGTGGGGTTGAGCCGCCGCCAAAAACGGCAGCAGTTCCGCCAGCCAGCCCTGATGCCGTCACAGTCTCCGCTGCGTTCTCCGCCGCCACAGCCGCCCCGTCCTCAAACGCAGTCGCAGCAGCAGCAACAGCCTCTGGCGTCTCCGCGGCAGCAGCCACGTTCTCCACGGCCCCCACTGTCGCCGTCACCGCTGCGGCGCTTCCCCCTCCCACTGCAGCCGCCGCCGCCTCAGCCCTCCTCATCGGCTGCTCCGTCACCGGCGCCGATGGAGTGCCCACAGCTGTTTCTTGGCGGGAGGCGCACCCCAATCCCGTGGGAGGTGATGGGGTATTTGAGGGCGGAGGAAGCCCCGGATGTGCAGTCACCCCCTCTGTCAACCCCGCCATTGTCTCCTCCTCCACCTGTCGGTCCTGGTCTCCCCCCCCCGCCGTCTCCTGAGGGGATTTCGCCGCCGGGCTCCCCACCGCAGAGCATGGCATACCGCGCCGCCCAGCGCGTTGGGCACGTGGGGACTTGCTTGACGTTGCTGGCAATGGTCCTTGCCAGCTGCACCTCTTCCAGCTGCGGCAGATTCGTCCTGGGGAGGTGCCTCCAGTACTGTCGGCGCAGGAGCAGGAGGAGGGTGTGGCAGCGGCGTTGCAGATGCTGGAGATGCTGCCCTTGATTGGGCTGGTGCCGGACTCCCCTGGCGCCGCCTTGGGGCCTGGCCCTGCTGCGCTGAGGCGGCTTGTTCTTGCTGCCATGCAGGCCCCGCGGGACGTAGTGCCGGCTGCCGCATCCGTGCTACGCTGGATGGACGGCCGATTGAGTTGGATCCTGGCCGAGTAGCGGCCATCTTCCCCTTGCCCGCCTGCTTGGTTGTAGGCGTGGCCTTGGGCTTCCCCATGGCGGTATCTCCTCGCCTGGGGGTGTTGTTGTCTTGTGTTATCACTGATGCATGTTGTAGCCCTCCATGTTATAAGTTACCCCCCAAGTCTTGTCACCCCTCACGCGCGGCCGAAGGCCGCGCTAGCGAGCGGCGGCCGCCGAAGGCGGCCGGCGTGAGCCGCTGGATTCTGAGAGTGAAAGGAACTCAACAGAACACAACGACTGGAAACAGGAGCTCCTATGCCTTATATACTAGGGAAGAGAGGCTTAAGAGAGGCTAAGGACTAGTTCCTAGTGCCTCTCTCTCTCTCTCTCTCTCTCTCTCTCTCTCTCTCTCTCTCTCTCTCTCTCTCTCTATATTGGTCCGTATATTGATAAGCCAGAAGGGTACACACATACAATGAACAACAGCAGGGGGCTAACATGCAAAGGAGCCTAGGCTAACCAATCCCTCTAAGTCACCTACAGCTCAAGAAGAGGCTCCAGGACAGTAAAACAGTCCCCCAGGTATAATTCCTGCCCTATCCCTCCTACAGGTGGGTTCTCTGCAGTAGCCGCCTCCCCTAGTTTGATCATGAGGCCCACGGATTGGGCCCTCTGCAGTGCAACCGACCACCTCTGCCTGAACTGGTGCAGGAACTTCGCGGCATGAAATGATTTTGAGTCGGCGTTGAAGTATCGCCGAGCCGCCGTGTCTGCAAGGAGTTTGAGGAACACAGGAACCTCGGCGCAAGGGCAGCCGTAGGTCTCTACTGCGAGTGGGAAGAAGCCCACTGTCTCTGGCCGGTTTGCGTAGTGCTTTATCTTCTTGTCTGCCTGCTCCCGGGCTGCCCATCCCCTGCCTTTCAGCGCCTCTGGGTCCCTAGTGCTAATAGGGTCCGTGACCGTCACATCACACACCCAAACCGCCCCACTATTTCTGTCCGTCATGGTAAAATCTGCTGTTTGCTCCTCGATGGGGCAGTAGACGTTGGTTTCCCTGTGAACAATGAATCCCGCGTCTTGTGCCATGCTGATGCATGCGTCGCGGAGTTCGTTGTGGGTATTCGTACGGTGTTTGCTCGTGCCGCAGCGGAAGAGGTGGTTGGGGAGGCGCGGGTCTGTGATAGTGGTGTGGTCTGTGCAATCGCACTGCTTCGGAGTGGAGAAGGGGAGACCCAGCCGGAAACGAACGGCATTGCTGAAATGTACTGGGCCTATGCGCCTTGACGTTGCCACTGGTACCGCCGTCAGCCAGTCCCCTGTCCCGTAGCCTGTGAGCGAGTACATCCTCTGTGTGTGACCGTAGAGCGGGTTCAGCTTCATTCGCCTCGTATCCTGGACTTGCACCGCGTACCTAGTACCCTGGACTTTGAGGGCTAACGTGTGCTGCAGCTTGATTTCTGACCGAGAGAGCCGCTCCTGATCAAGTATTTCGCGTGCGTCTGTGGGCATGGATGTCTCGCACTCCGTGAGCCAGGAATGGAGCGGGGTGGTGTTGTCACGGGGCAGAATCATGTGGCTGTGTGCTCGTGTCAGTGCGGTGTCTGGTGCTAGCGTGAGTGAGGAAAAGAACAGAGCTGCCTGTGTGAAGCTGGCTACGAAGCCGTAGACGCCTTCTACAAGTGGGTCCGTGATTCCCAGCCCGCCTAGGGATGATGGAAGTGATGCCTGCGCCCACACTCTCGTCTGCTCCGTGCTACAGGTAGGAACTCTAATCCCGCATGATGTCAAGAGCGCGGCTAGAAGGTCTCTTCCTTACTGTGCCCAAGTGTCTCGTGGAAGGAGGTTTAGCGGCGTGGTTCTAGTGAGGTAGGCTACTCGTCTAGAAATGCAGCGGGTCAGGAGCAGGGAGGCTACTTGGGGTTCGGCCCGTTCTAAGAGCGGCAGCGGCTTCGCCATTTCATCTAGTTGCCCCGCTAGGAATTTGGCGGCGCCAGCTGCCGGCCCCAGGAAGCTGCAGAGTAGGCGTATCCCGTCCTTCGAAAACGGGACCCCTGGTGGCAGCTGGGTTGACTCGTCACCGTTTGTGCTCCAGGCAACACATTTCTGTGGGTTGTGTTTCAGCCCCAGTTGCGCTAGCTTGCTAGTGAAGAGAATAAAGGCTGCTACAGTGTCCTTGTCGTCCCCCCAAAATGTGACGTCGTCCACATATGCCAAGCAGAGTACCTGGGGGTGTGCTGCGGCAGTTTCGCGAAGGGCTGGGTGTATCCCAGCTGCGAATAGTAGAGGGCCGAGTGGGTCCCCCTGCCTCACGCCGCGTTCGCTGTTGAGAGGGTCGCTAGCGAAGTTCGAGTCGAGGTACAGCTTCGACGGGTTACCATACGTAACCCGGACCAGTGGGAGGAGTGACGAAAGGCTGTTGTCGCGTAACCCGTCGATGATTGTCTGGCGCGAAATGCTGTTAAAGGCATTTGAAATGTCGGTCTGTAACACCACGCAGCTGTCTCTTGAGTCGACGAAGGAACGTGCGACATGAATGTTGGCCTCGGCTCCACCTGGTACTGCCACCCCGTACTGTAGTGGCAGGAAGTGGTCACGTGCAGCCTCCCCAATTGCTGTCAGTGCTGCCTTGGCTGCGAGGCGCGTCAGGCATTCGCCAATTGCAATTGGCCGAACCCCCCCCCCCCTGGTTTGGACAGCGCGATTAGGCGCGAGGCTGTCAGCAGGTCCCCCACTGGCTCGGGTAATTTGCCTGCCAGGAGGGTGTTAACTAGGGCATGCAGGTGGGTGCAGACCGATGCGTTGGTTGCGGATGCGTCGCGCAGGTGTTCGAATGCGGTTCCGGACGGTCCAGCCCCAACACCATTTTCGCATCGACCCAAAAGTTTGGCGAAGTCAGCTTGGCTGATCTGCAGGTTCGGGCCAGGTGTTGTTGGCCAGCTCAGCTGCTCGTTGTCAGTTGGTGGGTGTTTCGCGCAGAGTTCATCCATGATTGCTGGACCCGGCGTGCAGACCGGGGTTGACTCGAGGGCCAGCACGGCTCGGCGTAGACTTCCACGTTTTGCCAGGCCCTCCGCCCTGCTGAGTACTCCCGCCTCGTCGGGCTGGTGACGTGGAGGCGGTGGGGTGTTGATGGCTTTGATTGCGTCAGAATACAGCTGCTCCCATTCGCCACGCTGGAAAGCTCTGAGACGAGCTTTGACTTCGGGCCACTTCGGTCTTCTTGGCGACGTTTTGCGAAGTGTGAGCCGCGGCAGAAATAGAAGAAGTCGCCACCCTGCCACCGAGTCCGGATTTCGCGCGAGGTGAAGGAGCGAGGTGAGTAACGCCAGTGAAAACAGCTGACATAAATTGGGCGGTAATCGGCGTGATAGGGATGGCTGACGACTGTCGCAAAGGGCCGCCACGTCCCAATCAGCGATGACTGCGAACAGGTCTGTTAGCTTCGCCAATTCCCCTGGCGAGTAGTAGCGGGGGCAATGTGTTCGATTTGTTGTTGCACTGCCATTGCGCGCGGCTTGATTCCTCTGAGGGCGCCTTGGTGCTCCGTCCTGACCAGGGGTTGGAATCGTAGCCGTCCGATTAGCCGGTGGCACTCCTCCTTCCACACCCGTCTCATGCTCGGCAGCTTGCCTCCCAGGCCTTAGGCTCTCAGCTTCATCAGTTTCTTCCTCGTCACTCTCACTTAGTGGCAGCGGCTCCTCCCTATAAGAAGGGTCCCCTCGATCCTCCTCCTCATTAGCCCGTTCTAGAGCTCTTAAAGCCTGTCTCCCTGCCGCCTGGAAGCCATTCTCCGGTCCACCTCCATCACCGCTAGCTGCCACTCTCCCTCTGCCTCGTCCTCCACGGCCCCTCGATGGTGATTGCTGGGCCGACCGATTATTCGCCAATGAGCGCTCGCGCTGTGTCGGTTGTGTACGGAATGCCACCGCCTGCCTCCGGAACGGGGACCATGGCGACGGGCCCCCCAACACTTCCTGCTCCGAAGCCTGTGAATACGCTGGAAACCTTCCTCGCCCCGCACCGTCGTTTCCCGAGGCGCCGGCGTCTCGGCCTGGCGACGGTGGTCGCCAGGCTCCTGTGCTGTCGGCGCCTCTTCCCGTCGCGCCGCCTGTCCCTCTCGCTGCGCCAACTGCTGCGTCTGCTCCGCTTGGCGCTCTTCGAGCTGTCGACCCCGCTGCTCTGTCTGCGGCCGCCGAGTGGGCGATTGTTGATGGCGGCGTGCCGGCCCAGTCGGTGGGGTCCGCCACCACTGACGTCCTGGGCCAGCCGGCGCTTCCCGCCGCTCTGGCTCCCCCGTCTGCACCGTCTCCGGCGCTGGTGCCTCCTCTGCCTGTGCTGGCGGGATCTGCTCCTGCACCGCCGGTGGCTGCGCCTCCCGCGCCTCCTGTGGCTGCACCTCTCGCACCGCCTGTGGCTGCTCCTCTCGCGCCGCCTGAAGCTGTTCCCCTTGCGCCGCCTGTGGCTGCTCCGCCTGCGGCGGGTCTGTCCGCGTCGCCCGTGGCTGTTCCCATTGCTCCGCCGGTGGCAAATCCCCCTGTGCTGTCTGCACAGCGTCCGCCGTCTCCTGGCCGTCGTCAGCAGCGGCCCCAATCCCCCGCGCGGCAGGACGAGCGCGAGACGTCCTGGCGCCGCCACAATTCCCCTCGTCGCCGTGGTTCCCAGGCGAACTGGGCAGCGCAACGCGGCGGCCGAGGCGGCTGGTGGGGGCCGCGTCAGCGGGGTGGCGGCTGGGGGTATGACCAGTCGGTAACAATGGCTGACCTGCAGCGCGCGGTATCTGCTGCTGTGCGCGAGGAGCGGAACGGGCAGGCGAGCCAGAGCAACTCCCCGCGTGTTGCTCAGACCCCAGTAGCGCCTCCTCCAACTGCGCCCTCTGCCCTGGCTGCTCCTCGTCCCCCTCCGGTTGTTCCTCCTCCTCCTGTTCCCGCCGCCTCAACCCCCGTCCCGGGGAATCCCCGCCAGATGCCATGGGTACCCCCTGTGGCGGGGGTTGAGTTTTTGACCGCGGCAGGTGGGCCCGTGACTGTGCAATATCCGTCCCTGCTGCCTGTGGATCCCCCTCCCCCGTCCGTAGGTGCGGCGCACCCGTTCCAGGCGCTGCTGTGGCCTCAGCGCACGGTTGCGGTTCCGGAGGTGACCCTTGGTCAGATCTGGCGCCTCTCGGAGGCTCTGCGGGTCGTACATCTGGTGCAGGTGTATGGTCACGCCGCCCTTTCCCAGGGCGACTCACTGGTGGGCGGCCCTCGGGACGATTGTCTCGCGGCGGCTGATCGTCTCGCCGAGCTGCTGGCGCCCGTGTTGGCTGCGCCCGCGCGGGGTGGGCTTGCGGGGGTCGGGCCGCTGGGTTCGGCCATGCGTGGGCTGCGCCGCCTGTTGCATGCAGGGACTGGATCCGGGGCGATCGCCGCAGGCACGGTGCTGGTGCCTGAGCTCCATCGCACGATGTCGGGGCTGCTTGCTGTGTATGACGCGGATCAGATGTAGCCTCCGCTTGTGCTTGCTCCATGGCCTTGCTAGTAGGTTGTTCTTTCTGCCATGTGTGTATGCCGTTGCTAGTTGTAGTAGTGGTGCTATGGTTGTACTTGCCACCCCTCACGTGTGGCCGAAGGCCGCGCTGTCGAGCGCCGGCCGCCTTTGCAAGCCGCTCGGTTAGGAGAGCAAACGAACCAGAAACTAAATAATGAGGCTCTAGGACTAGATCCTAGGGCCTTTATACTAGGCTGGAGAGGGCTGGAGAGGCTAGGAGAGGCTAGAAACGGCTAAGTCCCTAAATGCCTCTCTCTCTCTCTCTCTCTCTCTCTCTCTCTCTCTCTCTCTCTCTCTCTCTCTCTCTCTCTCTCTCTCTCTCTCTCTCTCCTCTCTCTGCCGCTCGGTTAGGAGAGCAAACGAACCAGAAACTAAATAATGAGGCTCTAGGACTAGATCCTAGGGCCTTTATACTAGGCTGGAGAGGGCTGGAGAGGCTAGGAGAGGCTAGAAACGGCTAAGTCCCTAAATGCCTCTCTCTCTCTCTCTCTCTCTCTCTCTCTCTCTCTCTCTCTCTCTCTCTCTCTCTCTCTCCTCTCTCTGCCGCTCGGTTAGGAGAGCAAACGAACCAGAAACTAAATAATGAGGCTCTAGGACTAGATCCTAGGGCCTTTATACTAGGCTGGAGAGGGCTGGAGAGGCTAGGAGAGGCTAGAAACGGCTAAGTCCCTAAATGCCTCTCTCTCTCTCTCTCTCTCTCTCTCTCTCTCTCTCTCTCTCTCTCTCTCTCTCTCTCTCTCTCTCTCTCAAGTAGTCATGTATTGATAGTGGTCATGAGGTACAGACATGGCAGGAGGTGGTTGTAGCTAGTCTGTCTAAGCATGTAGGCAACCAGGTACCAAGAGCTAACAAACCAACAAAACATGCAAGCCAATATGCAAACAAGCGAGCAGAGCAAAGCAAAGCAAGCAGTGCAAGCCGAGCAGCCATGCCGTGTGTGTACACCCTAGTCCCCTAGCACTGAAACATGCTGGCCAGCAGCAACACCCGACCCCGAATACCTCCCTCTCCTCCCGTCCTGTGGCTCCCTCCTACCATACCATAGTCCCCCTGCCCCCTATCCTCCTCCCTGCAACTTCCTCTCATCTTCCTTCCGCCGCCCTCTCTTTTTCCCTCCTGCCCCTCTAAGCCGCTCGGGCAGGAGCCTCCCGCTCCTCATACTCATCCTCAGCCATCTGCCAGAGGTCCCCTAGCCGTGGGGCCCAGGGGTCTCCCGCAGCCTGTGGGAATGCCGCTTCAGCTGCTCGGTTGGTCTTGGAGAGGAGTGAGATGGCTTGGCTGCGCTGCAGCATCACCGACCACCTCTGTCGGTAGTGTGCATTGAGCCGAGCGGCAGTTGTTGTGAGGCGCCCCTGTCTGAACTTCGTCCTCGCTGCGTGGGTAGCAAGCATGCGAAGGAACTGGACTGTGTCCGCCGCCATGGCCCCGTAGGTCTCGACAGCCAGCCCAAAGAATCCGGCATAGGTGGGGCGCCCTTCATAGAGCCGATGCTTCCTCTGTGAGGCTTCCTCCGCGGCCCACCCAGGCGGCCTGCGGGCCCTGCTGTCTCTGTTCTGTAATACTGGGTCCGTCACGGTGACATCCGTCACCCATGTTTCCCCTGACTCCTGGTCCCGTATCGCTAGGTCTGCTCGTTTCCTGAGGACTGGCGGTGAGAATGCTGAGGTCTCATGAAACGTTTTGTAGCCCGCTTCATTAGCCATCCGCAGCGCCGCGTAGACTAGGGCGTTGTGGGTTCTGACTGCATCGCCCCCGTCCTGGCAGCGCAGCAGGTGGTTCGGCAGACTCTTGTCCCCAATCGCTGAGTTGTCACGTTTGCACGGGCACACCTCAGCTACTGGCAACTCCATGCCCAAGCGTAGGCCCAGGGCCAACGAGAACTGACCAGGGGAAATAGAGAGGTCAGCTCTCATTGGTACCGCGTGTAGCCAGTCGCCCACGCCAGTCCCTCTCAGGCTTATCAGTCTCAGCGCGTGACCCCTGTTGGTGCCAGGCCTGTCCACCACCGTGTCCCCCAGGAGCTCGACCGCGCGCTGCTGGTTGATGATTTTGGAGAGGCACAGCTGCAGGCTGCTTGTGCCCTTGTTCCCCGTCCTGTAGGCTCCCAGCGCCACCTGTGCCTGAGCTGGCAGCCCCTCCTCTAAGCTCGACAGTGTGCTGCTGTCCGGCAGTGGTGGGCTCCAATCGTGGGAGAGCAGGGCCGTTGCTCTGTGTAGCAGGCAGTCCGGGGGAAGATTCAGGTGCTGGAGAAGGGTGTGCGCTGCCGTGACAGAAGCAATGTAGGTAGCCGGGGCCTCCGAGACAGGGTCAATGATTCCTAAACCACCCAGCCGAATCGGGAGGGTAGCCTGTCGCCACAGTAGGCTCTGCTCCAACTCCGAGTTGGGGATGCGAAGCTTTGCAGCTGTGAGCGCCGAGCCAACCAATGCCTCACTCCAGTCCCTCCACTCCTCTGCGCCCAGGGTCGTCGCCGGCGTAGTCCTCAGCATGTATGAGATGCGGCGAGAGATGCTGCGGGAGACTATAAGCATGGCATGTTGCGGGTTGAGCTGAGAGACAAGGGGAAGGGGCGAGGCAGCTTCCTCCAGTGCCGCCCGGACTTGGGTGGTGCAGAAGTCGTTGCTGCCGATAGGACTGCCAAGGACCCGTATCCCGCCCGGGTCTGCAACTAAGCCTAGTGGTAGCTCCTCGTTCTCTCCGTCGTGCGCCGCTCCCCACGCCGATGACTTTGAAATGTTGCAGCGTAGTCCATATTCTGCCAAGTCATCCGCTATCTTGGTGAAGGCACGGCACGCTACTTCCCGCTGGCCGATAATGGTGATGTCGTCCGCGTAGGCTACCACTGCCACTTCCGGTGTTGTCGCCGAGACGCTCATGAGGGCTGGCTGGATCGCTGCCGCAAACAAGAGAGGGCCCAAGGGATCTCCCTGTCTGACGCCACGTGAGCTCTGGATTTGGTCTACTCCCAGTCGAGCATCTACGAGCAATGGCGATGGACCGTCGTACAGGTTTCGGACAAGGGGAAGTAGCGAGCTCAGGTTGGACCACTGCAGCGAGCCTAGGAAAGCCCGTCGCTCGACACTGTTAAAAGCGTTTTCGATGTCTAGCTGGAGGGCAATGCGGGTCTTGTCCTCACGGAGTAGAGAGCGGACGGTATGGATGATGCACTCCGCACCTCTTGGAACTGCCACGCCAAACTGAACTGGTAAGAAAAAATCCCTAATCTTGGGCCCAAGGGTAAGCAGCGCCGCCTTCGCCACTATGCGTAGCAGGGTTTCGCCTATTGCTATAGGCCGCACTCCCCCATTCGGCTTCTCTAGAGCGATCAGACGGGAAGGCAGTAGCAATTTCCTTACGTGGGAGGCCTGGAAAGTGCTGAGCAGCCGATTTACCATCTTGGCGAAAAGCAGCAGCAGCTCTTCGTTAGCTAGGGCGGGGTCTCGGAGGTGTTCAAAACAAGTACCAGAGGGTCCCGCCCCAACACCATTCGGGCACTTCGCCAGGATTTCGCGAAGCGAGTCCAGCGAAACCGCCAGTTCTGACTCTGTGATTCCGGTAACCCACGCTGGTATCTGGCTACCCGCTGCAGGGTGTTTCGCTTGCAGAGCTTCAAGTGTAGCCGGGGTTGCTTCTGCTAGGGGGGACGTTCGCAGAGCCGCTACCGCTTTCGAAATGTTTCCTTTTTTCACTAACCCCTCCGCTCGTGCACAAACCCCTTCCTCGTCAGGCTGGTGCTGTACAGGGGCTCCTGTGTCGAGGATGACTCCTGCTTCCTCGAAGAGCTCGGACCATTCGCCTCGTTGGAATTTGTGCAGCCTAGCTTCAATCGCTGCCCAGCGACTCCCCAAGACAGGTTCGGGCGCAGGCCTGAGGGTGAGCCTCGGAAGGAACAGCAGCACCATCCAACCACCTGGGCAGCTGGGATTTTTATCCAGGCGAATGAGTGCTGCCAGCATGCACAGACAGTATCTGTCCAGGAGGTGTGGTGGCAGCCGGCGGACGAGGAATGGCTGGTCCCCTCGCTGAAGCACGTCTACATTCCACTCCCCCGCCATGTGCCAGATGGCGTCGTCGCCGGCCAGGTCGGCCGGCGAAGGCACGTCAGTCTCCTCCGTGGCAGGTGCTCCTCCTACCGCTGGGTTGCTAGGAATACCCCCCCCCCCCGCCGCCCCGGTTTGAGGTTCAGGGTTGTTCCTCCTCCTGGGTGCCTCCTCGTCTTCTAACGAGATTTCTTCAGAGGTCTCCTCCTCCCCCGCCATAAACTCTGGGTCGGCCCCGGGATTGTCAGAAGCTTCTTGTCGCTCATTCGTCTGCAGGATCACTCTTTCGGGCCTGGCGTGACGCTCCCGCCAGGGACCAGTCCTCGCGGGGATTTCCGATCTGGGTGGTTGGTTGCGCCCTCCCCGTCCGCCTCTCATCCCCCCGCGCAAAACCCCTCGTTGTCCCCGCCCAGCCGCGCCCGCCGTTTCCGCCACTCCGTTGCCACCGCGGCCCGCCGGCATCCACGGCGTACGGCCATCCCGTGGTGGTCCCCAGGTTATCGCTCCCAACCGTGCCGACCGCCTGGTCCCTACAGCCGCCGCCGCTACGTTCGTGCCTGCTGCTGCTGCTGTTGTACCTGTCACCGCCGGCTCCCCATTGTTACTGCCGACCTGAATTCCCGGCGCCTGCGTTGGCGCAGCCTGCGTCGTTGTCTGCGTGGCGGAATTCGCCACAGACGCTCCGACGTGAGATGGCGACGGATGCGCTGGCACTTGTGGCGACTGCCCTTGCAGCAACCAGCCCAGGAGGGGTCCTGGGACGCCAGGTCCCAGCCCTGCTCCGGGCCGCCTCGGTGCTGGCTGGGCGCGGAGCTTCTTCCCGCGAGCGGCGCAAGCAGCGGCGCCAGTCCCGGGACCCGGTCTACCGCTCCCCGCCCGGCCGTGCCCCTGCCTGTTTGCGGCCACGGCAGCAACAGGTGTTCCGGCGGACTCAGCGGCAGGCAGCGCCGTCTCTTCGTTCGGGGGTAATTGCTGTCGCCTCGCTGCCTCCGCCACGACCGCAGCAACCTCAGCCGTCCCGAGCGGTGACGGGGATGCAGCCGGCTCCGGTACCACCTGACTCTCCTCCGCGGCCCAACCCCCGCCCACATGTAGCGGCGGCGCAGTCGGGCGTACCTCAGCGGGCGAAATTAAGCCGCCGTCAGAGGCGACAGCAGTCTCGGCAGCAGACGCTCCCCCCGCCGTCCCAGCCGTTTGTGCCCCCTCCCGCGCCGTCCCCGTCACCTCAGCCGCAGCGGCCACGTCGGTCTCCTCCAGCAGCGCCGCTGCCCCGGGCTCAGCAGCAACAGCAGCCGCCGACAAACCAGTTTCCGCTGCCCCAGCCTCAGCTGCATCAGCCGCCAACTCCCCAAGTGCTACTGTTCCCTCCCGTCCCGCCCGCCCCTCGTGCTGCTGCTGCTCGTGTTGCTGCGACGCCTCTCCACGTCGAGCAGCGCGTAATGCACGTGGGGACGTGCCTGACTCTGCTGTCGTATATCCTGGACCAGCTCCATGTGTGTTTGGCGCGCCAGAGTGTCGAGGTTGGGGGGATGGAACCATCGGAGCAGTCGGCGGCAGTGGCAGCGGCAACTGAGATGTTGCATTACCTCCCCCTGATCGGCCTTGTGCCGGGCGCCCCTGGTGCAGCGCTCGGGCCCGGCCCCGGGGCGATGTTGCGGCTTGCTGAGTCAGCCCGTGGGGCCCCTCTCAGCCTTGTATCAGCAGCCGCATCCGTCCTGCGCTGGATGGACGGGAGGCTTTGCTGGATACTCGCCGAGTAGCCGCGGTTTTCCCCTTGCTGGCCCCCTTGGCAGCAGGCACGGCCTTGGGCTTCCCCATGGTGGTTACTCCGCACCAGGGGGTGTTGTTGGTGGTGTGTGCTATTTAGTACTGCATGTTGTACTTCCCCTTGCTATAGTCCTTGTTCCCTATGACCTTGCCACCCCTCACGCGCGGCCGAAGGCGGCCGGCGCCAGCCGCCGATTTTGGAGGGTGAACTGAACTCACCAATGAAGAATGAGCTCAAAAGGGTGCATCTAAGGACTTTATACTAGGGAACTAGGCAGGAAAACGGCTAAGGACTAAGGACTAGGACTAAGAGGCTGAAAAACGGCTAAGGACTAACCCCAAGCCATCTCTCTCTCTCTCTCGCTCTCTCTCCAACGAGCCGCCGATTTTGGAGGGTGAACTGAACTCACCAATGAAGAATGAGCTCAAAAGGGTGCATCTAAGGACTTTATACTAGGGAACTAGGCAGGAAAACGGCTAAGGACTAAGGACTAGGACTAAGAGGCTGAAAAACGGCTAAGGACTAACCCCAAGCCATCTCTCTCTCTCTCTCTCTCTCTCTCTCTCTCTCTCTCTCTCTCTCTCTCTCTCTCTCTCTCTCTCTCTCTCTCTCTAACGGTCCTTTGTATTGATAGGTGGGGCTGGTACAGACATGCAGATTCTAGGGAAGGGCACATCTAGCACGGAGACAAGCAAACAGGGACAAGCAAGCAAAACCTATAGAGCACAAAACCTAGCGAACACACACCTCTACCCTCCCCCCCCCCCCCCCCCCCCCCCCCCCCCCCCCCCCCCCCCTTCTCTATCTAAGGTGCCTCTATTGTTGAGAAACAATCCCCCGGGTTCATCTCCCCCTCTGGTCCCCCCAGTGGGGGGTTCTCTGCTCGTGCCGCCAGGTTCAGCTTGGTGAGAAAGCTCACTGCCTGGGCCCTCTGGAGTGCGACCGACCAGCGCTGGCGGAACTGATGGAGCATCTTCGCGGCCTGATAGGTAGATGGGTCCGCGTTGAAGATTCTCCGTGCAGCTTTGTCCGCCAGCAGCTTTAGGAAGGTGGGCACCTCGTCGCAGGGGCAGCCGTAGGTTTCTACCGCCAAGGGGACAAACCCAGCAAACTCCGCCCTGCCATGGTAGAGGCCTATCTTCTTGTCTGCTGCCTCCTGCGCTGCCCAACCCCTCCCTTTCCTTGTAGTCTCATCCCGCTTACAGATGGGATCTGTTATTGTGATGTCTGCTAGCCACACCGCCCCTGAGCTCCCATCCCTAAAGGCCAGGTCGGCCTTCTTGTTGTCCACCGGGCTAAAGGCGGTGCACTCCTTGTGCACAGCATATCCTGCATCATGTGCCATGCGGATGCACTCATCACGGAGCTCGTTGTGGGTGTTGGTCCGGCCATGCCCAGTACCGCATCGGAGCAGGTGATTTGGCAGTCTCTTATCCAGAATGGAGACTCGTTCGCTGCAGTCACAGCACTCATGCACAGAAAGCGGCAGGCCGAGGCGGAACTGTAGCGCGAACGTGAAGTGGCAGGGGTATAAACGTAGGGCTGGCATGTAGGGGATTGCCATGAGCCAGTCCCCCGCCCCGTAGCCTGTGAGGGACATGAGGCGTTGCGTGTGGCCCAGCCGGGGGTTCAGCTCCATCTGCCTGGATGCGGTGATCTGGGCGGCACTCCGGCCCCCTTGGACTAAGAGAGCGAGGCGGTGCTGTAGTTGGCCCTTAGGTTTCACCCGCTCCGCCGCTATCAGTTCCCTCCCCTCATGTGTGAGGCTGTCACTGCAGTCCTAGATCCACCTCTGTAGCTCGTTGGTGCTGTTGTCGGCCGAATCAGTGCTGTCCAGTGCCGCTGCTAGGGTGGTCCCTGCTTGCCCCCCAGTCCGCCGAGTAGCGTGTGGGCTTGCACGAAACTCGCCAGGAAGTTGTATCGGCCTTCCACAGCAGAGTTAGCGAGGCCCAGGCCGACTCGGCTCGGTGGGAGGGAGGCTTGGTCCCACATTCGACTGTCCTCTGCGTCACCCCTCGGGTGGCGTACCCCGCAAGCGTCGAGAAGTGTGTACAGCAGCGCCCGTCCCCAGCTTGACCATTCCGCCTCGGGTAACAGGTATAGCGGGGTGGTGCGTGCCAAGTAGGAGATGCGCCTGGAGATGCATCGCGTTAATAGCAGCGCCGCCACCTGAGGATCCATTGCTGCTAGGTGGGGTTGCGGGGATGACATTGTCTCCAGCTGGGACCGCAGGAAGGCCGCTGCACCATCTGTCGAGCCGATGAAGCTCCCCAGCAGTCTCAATCCCTCCGGGCGCAGCGAGACGCCCTCGGGCAGATGCTGGGGGTCTGTAACTGCAGCGCTCCATGCGGCGCACTTCCCTGGGTTGTGGGTCAGTCCCACGTCGCGTAGTCCTGCCGTGAAGTGGCGGAAGGCGTCCGAACATTCGGGAGCCAGACCCAAGAAAATGATGTCGTCCGCGAAAGCTAGGCACAATACAGACGGGTAGGCCGCCGCTGTCCTGGTGAGTATGGGGTATATTCCAGCCGCGAATAGCAGTGGGCCGAGTGGATCTCCTTGTCGTACGCCTGTCTCGCTCGTCAATGCCTCGCAAACGAACCACGCGTCGAGGAACAGATGGGCTGGCGTACTGTAGGATGCCTTGACCAAGGGGATCAAGCTCTGGAGTTTGGTGTCGCGAAGCGCGCTGACAACGGATGCGCGGCTAATGGAGTTAAAGGCGTTTGCCAGGTCCGCCTGCAGAATAAGCGCGTCAGGGTTTGCGCTGGTGAATGCTCTGGCGGCGTGTATAATTGCCTCGCTGCCGCCTTGGACGGATACGCAGTACTGTAACGGGAGGAAATGCGTGCGACACTCGTGGGAGAGGGCTGAGAGGGCGGACTTAGCGGCTAAACGGAGGATACATTCTCCCACTGCTATCGGTCGCGTGCCACCATCTGGCTTGGCGAGTGCTATGAGCCGGCTAGCTGTTAGTAGCGCGCAGATCTCATCAGGCAGTTTGCCTCCTAAGATAGTGTTGACGAGGGCGTGGAGGTGTGTGGTAACCCCCGCGTTAGTGAGTGATGTTGGAGTAGGCTAGAGCTCGCTCTGGCCTTTATTTTGGTGTTCTCTTATCATTCCACCATGCTTAGAGCGAGTTATGCTTCCAGGTTCAATTTAGGTTCATTTCGTAGCTATAGTACAAACTGAACACACCCTAAGTTCAATTAGGGTTTCCAATTCCTTTCTAGACTTGTATCTCGACACTTCTTTCCTAATACAATTTTTTCGATCGCTACCTTCTCTCTTCCTAGCCATGGCTACCACACTCTCAGTTTTAACATGGTATCTAGAGCCAAATCCTTGGCGTTTTGTCCCAATCTATATCTCTTAGTACGGTTTAGGCCTTAGGCATCCGGCGCGCCACTTTTTACCTAGTCGAAAATTATCTTCCCTAGTATTTCGACCCTTAAAGTTCTTCTTCTTTTTTCAATCACGGAACCTTCCATCCATCACCCGAGGTCTCCCTGCCTAGTCACGCGCCCCGTCCCCTAGTCGCGCGCCCTGTCTCGTCGTCGCGCCGCCCTCCCCCCCCCCCCCCCACCTCGTCGCGCGCCCTACTCACCGCCGCGTCGCGCGCCCTGCCTGTCGTCGACGTGCGCGGCCGTCCCGCCGTCGACGCGCGGCCTCCCCGCCGTCGATGCGCGCGCGCGTCTTGCCCACCGCCCTCCATTCCTTGGCCACCCTTCCCTCCTCCCAGCCACCCTTCCTTACCCTCTCGTGGGCGGCCTGCCACACCTCCCTGCAGGCGCCTTCCCCTCCCCCCCGTGGTGCGCCTTCTTCTGCCGTTTCTGCACCACCTCCTCCTTCTCCCCTCACCCCATCCGCCTCTTCACCCTCCTCCTCCTCTCCTCATTCCTTCCTCCCTTCCGTGCCTTTCCTCCCTTCCTCCACCTCCTTCCCCTCCGCATCTGCCACCTGGCTGCGTGTTACTGATTGCCACTTGGTGATCGTGACCCTACTTCCTCCCAACACTCCGCTCCTTCACCCTCCTCCTCCTCTTCTCTCTCCCTCTATTTCCCCCACCCTCTCACCTCTTCCTCCGCCTCTCTTCTCTCCCTATCTGCTGCAGCTGGTAGCTGTCCGTGTTTCGTCGCCTTCCACACCTTTCCTCCTCCTCGTATTTCTCCCCTCAGCGGCGCAGCAGCAGACTACTTCGCCGCTATCCCTCCTCCTCGTATTTCTCCCCTCAGCGGCGCAGCAGCAGACTACTTCGCCGCTATCCCTCCTCCTCGTATTTCTCCCCTCAGCGGCGCAGCAGCAGACTACTTCGTCGCTATCCCTCCTCCTCGTATTTCTCCCCTCAGCGGCGCAGCAGCAGACTCCTTCGCCCCTATCCCTCCTCCCCGTATTTCTCCCCTCAGCGGCGCAGCAGCAGACTACCCCGCCGTTTTCCCTCCTCCTCTTATGTCTCCCCTCAGCGGCGCAGCAGCAGACTACTTTGTCGCTATCCCTCCTCCTCGTATTTCTCCCCTCAGCGGCGCAGCAGCAGACTCCTTCGCCCCTATCCCTCCTCCTCGTATTTCTCCCCTCAGCGGCGCAGCAGCAGCCTACCCCGCCGTTTTCCCTCCTCCTCTTATGTCTCCCCTCAGCGGCGCAGCAGCAGACTACTTCGTCGTTATCCCTCCTCCTCTTATTTCTCCCCTCAACGGCTCAGCAGCTGACTACATCGCCCCTATTCCTCCTCTTTTCTCTCTCCAACACTGCTTTACTGCTATCCCCTCCCCCATATGGGGCCTCTTCTCGCTCTTACCTCTTCCTCTGCGCTTCCATCCTCACCCTTCTCCCGCCGTACCTCCTCTCCTACCATTGCCTTCCCTACTCTCCGCCCCCTTCGCTGCCCCTTCCTCCCCTTCCGCCCTTCCTACTTGCCGTTGTACCTCCCCTCTTCTCCACCCCTCTTCTTGGATTCCGCTATCCCATCAGCGTCGCCGCTCTTCTGCCGCTGTAACCTCTGGTTTTGGCTCTCTGGCCTCTGTTTTCAGTGTGACCATGCCATCTCAGGATAGCATCCTTGGTGCTTCTCCTCTTATGGACCCTCGCTTTCTCGTTCCATTTTCTCCACCCGTTCAAAGAACTGCTTCTCACTCTCCCAGCCCTACGGCTGCCGCTCTCTCACTTCCTCGCACCTTGGATTTTGTCCTTGACAGTGCTGCTACTGACTCTGTCTTTCGTGATGCTGGTGTTCTTCGCAATTTTCCTCGTCCCCTCTCTATTGATGGGGCTGGGGAGACCATGACCATGATCTGCACAGGCACTTCCTCTCTTCCCTGTCCTGCCTCTCCCTCTGGCGCTGTTACTGGCCTTTATGTTCCCTCTTGCCGTCATAACCTCCTATCCCTTCCTGCCCTTCAACGCCTCGGTGTACGAGTGCTCTTCCCCGCAGGTGCACTCTATTGTGATCTTCATTACCACGACCGGCACCTCGCTCGTTTCACCCTTTCTCCTACTACTCGCCTCTACACCCTTCGTGTTCCCCTCCCCTCATCTGTCCACCACACTTCCTCTTCTTCTGTCCCTCCCGTCTCCTCTTGCGACTGTCGCTCTCTCACCCAACCTACCCTTCTTCTCCATCATCGCCTTGGCCACCCCAACTTCCCTCTCTTTCGCAGCATGGTCAACTCGAAGCTGCTTCATGATCTCCCTTCCTCTCTCCCGCCCCTTCCCCCCTCTCCCGCTCCTCCATGCACCCCTTGTGTTCAAGCTAAGCTCTCCCAATCTCCCCATCCTTCTTCCCCTTCTGCCTCCCCCAAACCCCTTGATCTTGTGCATATGGACCTCTGGGGTCCCTCTCCCATTGCCTCCCGTCAGGGTCATCGCTATTTTTTTCTTCTCGTCGATGACCATTCTCGCTTTGCCACTGTCTATCCCCTCTGTGCCAAATCTGACACCCCCTCCCTCATCATTCGCTGGGCTGAGCAGGCGCGTCTTCGCTTTGGCCGCCCTGTCGCGCGCCTCCACTCTGATGGTGGTGGCGAGTTCTTTAACCACTCTCTTTCTTCTTACTGCTCCTCTCATGGCATTCGCCAAACCTCCACCCTTCCGCATTCTCCTGAACAAAATGGTGTTGCCGAGCGTCGTATTCGCACTCTCACGGAGATCACCCGCTGTCTCCTTACGCATGCTTCTGCTCCCCACTCTCTTTGGATCTACGCTCTTGTTCACGCCACTCTTCTTTCTAACCTTCGCCCTCATCCCCTTCGCTCTTCCATTACACCCTTTCAGCTCTGGACTGGCCGCCAGCCTTCTGCCCGCCCTCTTCGGGTGTGGGGCTGTGTCGCTCATGTCCTCATCAATCCCGCTGATCAGGCGCGTCAGGGTGGGAAGCTCGCTCCCAAGACGCAGCTTTGTGCGTTTATTGGTATCAACTCTGACTGTCCTGGCTACCTTTTCTATGCTCCCTCCTCTCAGCAGCTCATTCGCAGCCGGGATGTCATCTTTGATGAGACTCAATCTCCATTCCTCACTCCCCCTCCCACCCCACCTGCTCCCTCTCTCCATTGGTCTGACTTTGATCCGCTGCCCTCTGCTGCTCCCTCTCCTCCTCCCCTTCCTCTTGCCCCTGCTCCACCTCCCCTGCCTGCCTCCTCCACCCCCCCCTCCGCTGTCATCTCTGGCATCTCTCCTCCTGCCTCTTCATCTTCTGCTCCCATGGCCCCTCCCTCATCACCTCCTTCTGCTACCCTCCCTTCTGCACCTGCCCCCCCACCCTCTCCCCATCTCACCCGCTCCATGACCCGTGCAATGTCCAATTTTCAACACTCTGCTCTCTTTACTCGTCTCTCTCCCTCTCAGAACGTTGATCTTCTCGAAGATCGCTTTGAGGAGCTTTTCTCTGTTCATCCTGTTTCACCCCTCCTCTGTGTCACCATTGGCGACTTCTCCAATTCTCCGACTCTTCTCTCCGTTGACACTGCCGCTATTCCCACCCCTCAGACCTATTCCGAGGCAGTGTCTGGCTTTCATGCAACTGAGTGGATGGCTGCCATTATTGCCGAGTGTGAGGCATTCACTAGGACTCACTCTTACGTTGACTCTGTCCCCCCCCCTGGCGCCACCATTGTGAAGGGCAAATGGGTCTTTCGTGTCAAACAGCTGCCTGGGGAGCTCCCTGTCTTCAAAGCCCGTTACTGCGCCAAAGGCTTCACCCAACGTGAAGGCATTGACTACTTTGCCACTTACTCCCCCACTGCCCGTCTCCCCACTCTTCGCCTCCTTCTTGATCTAGGCGCCCGCTGGAATTGGGAGATTCACTCTATGGATGTCTCCAATGCCTTTCTCCAAGGCGAGCTTCATGAACGCATTTTCCTTGAGCGCCCCGCTGGCTTTCCTCGCCCCTTCCCTCCAGGCACTGTCTGGGAGCTGAAGCGCCCAGTGTATGGTCTTAAGCAGGCCCCACGCGAGTGGCATGCTAAGCTTTCCTCCACTCTTCACTCTCTTGGCTTCTCCACCTCCTCTTCCGACCCCAGTCTCTTCATTCGCACTTCCCCCCACAGGGTTTACATTCTTGCCTACGTCGATGACTTGGTGCTCCTCGCTGAAGATTCTGCCGACCTTGCCGCTGTCAAGCTAGCCCTCCAGGCGCGTCTCCTGTGCAAGGATCTTGGCGAGCTTCGCCACTACCTTGGCAAGGAGATTCGTCGTGATCGTACTGCGCGCACCATCTCTCTCTCTCAATCTTTCTACATCCACTCCATCCTTGAACGCTTTGAAATGTCACAGGCTAAGCCAGTTTCCACTCCTCTTCCCGCTAACCATCAGCTTACTGCCCCTGCCGTTCCCGCTCCCTCCTCAGAACTGCGACCCTATCCTGAGCTCGTTGGGTCACTCATGTATGCTATGATGTGCACGCGCCCCGATCTTGCTTACCCCCTCAGTGTCCTCTATCGCTTTGTTGGCCTTGGTCGCCACACAGACGTGCACTGGGCGGCTGCCAAGCGCGTTCTCCGCTATCTCCGCGCTACCTCTGATCTTGCTCTCACTCTTGGTGGCTCTTCTCCCCCTGTTCTTTGCGGTTCCAGTGATTCCTCCTATGCTGATTCTCGCCCTGATCGCCGCTCCTCTCAGGGTTATGGTTTTACTCTTGGCAGTGGTCTCATCAGCTGGCGCTCCACTCGCTCATCCTCTGTCTGCCTTTCTACCTGCGAAGCTGAGTTGTACGCAGGCACATTGGCAGCTCAGGAGGCTCGCTGGCTCTCCTTTCTCCTTGCTGAGCGCGGTCACTCTCAGCCCTCTGTGACGCTCTCCTGTGACAGTGCGAGCATGATTCATCTCACTGAAAATCCTGTCTATCACGCCCGCAGCAAACACATAGAGGTCCGCTACTTCTTCGTGCGCGAGCTGGTGCAGTCTGGCTTCTTACGCCTTCGCAAGGTGGCCGCTACTGCCAACCTTGCTGACATTTTCACCAAGGCCCTTCTGCGTGCGCCACACCGTTTCTACGTGCGCGAGCTTGGGCTCACGCGTCTTGCCACTTCTGGGGGTGTTCCCGTTCGCTAGGTGTTTTGTTCCAGAGCTTCACCTAGCCTGGGGGTGTGTTGGAGTAGGCTAGAGCTCGCTCTGGCCTTTATTTTGGTGTTCTCTTATCATTCCACCATGCTTAGAGCGAGTTATGCTTCCAGGTTCAATTTAGGTTCATTTCATAGCTATAGTACAAACTGAACACACCCTAAGTTCAATTAGGGTTTCCAATTCCTTTCTAGACTTGTATCTCGACACTTCTTTCCTAATACAATTTTTCTCTCGCTACCTTCTCTCTTCCTAGCCATGGCTACCACACTCTCAGTTTTAACAAGTGATGCATCACGCAGGTGTTCAAATGTCATACCAGACGGTCCCCCTCCCACCCCGTTCTCGCAGCGGCACAACATTTTTATGAAGTCCCCTTTTTCGATTGATGCCGCTTGAACAGTATCGGGGATGCTTCAATCGATGATTCCAGGTGGCGCGGGGGGGTGCTTTGCTTTGAGAGCGGCAAGAATGGTTGCAGATGGGTCGGCGACCGGCGTAGACTCGAGGGCGAGGATCGCCCTGCGAAGGCTTCCTTTTCGCGCGAGGCCTTCTGCCATGGCACGTTTGCCGAGGGCATCTGGCGTATGACGGGGCGGGTGTGGTCCAGTTATTGCGGTAACTGCCAAGTCGTAGAGCTGCTGCCATTCGCCTTTGTTGAATTAGCGAAGACGGCGCTTGACAGCCGGCAAATCGGGCTTCTCTCTCTCTCTCTCTCTCTCTCTCTCTCTCTCTCTCTCTCTCTCTCTCTCTCTCTCTCTCTCTCCATTCCTCTCAAGCGGTCCTTCATTGATAGTATACAGGGTAAATATCATAAGGCATAGGGGAGCCACATGCTAAGGAGTGGCCCACCAGCAGTCCTATGGTATGCTCCCCGGTCTAACAAGAGTGCTGCCTGCCCATCACCGTGCCCCTTGGCTGGGGTCCCTGAGTCCCGCCCCTCACATGTCTAGGGGCGGCCCCCAGTCCAAGTCATCCTCAATGACTTGGCACAGGTCCCCCAGGCGGGGCTCCTATGGGTCGGCCGCTGCCTGGGGGTAGGCGCTCTTTGTGGCCCGGTTAGACTTTGCCAGGAAGGTGTTTGCCTGGCTCCTCTGCAGCGTTACCGACCAGCGCTGGCGGTAGTGGGGTGTGAGTTTGGAGGCGACCGTGGTGAGCCTCCCCTGCCTAAACTTCTTTTTGGCCGCCTGTCTGCCCAAGAGTCGGAGGAACCGTTGTGTGTCGCGTGCCACGGCCCCGTAAGTTTCCACTGCTAGGCCAAACACCCCCACAAAATCCGGCCGGCCCTCATGCATTCCCCTCTTTCCCCTTGCTGCGTCCTCTGCCGCCCAGCCTGGCGGTTTCACTGCCCTAGTGTCTCAGCACTGCAGGACTGGGTCGGTCACCGTGACGTCGGTCACGTTTGTCTCGGCCGACTCCCTGTCCTTGATGGCCAGGTCCGCT